ACAAGAAATGTATAAAATTACAGTACTGTATTAGACTTACGGTACCTAATTTACATACTGACAGACGATAGTTAGCGTAAAAATCTCCGTAGCGTGGCGCCACGCTAGACGGCGGAAATTATATATTTAATTATAACAAAGTTACAATAAGTTAATATATAATTATATATACAGTACCTAATTTATATATAATTAATATATAATTATATGTACAGTACCTAATTTATATATAATTTATATAATACTGTCCAGACGATAGAAATCTCTCCGTAGCGTGGCGCTACGGACGGCGGGAAAGTAGTTCGGCTTCCCGATGACGTTTGAGGTGTTTATAGGGAACTTTTACTATTTTTTACGGATACCGGTAGCAATTTTTTCGTAGTTTTATAGGAATCGTAACTATAGGGACCGTAATTATAGGGGGGTCGACTGTATAACAAAGCTAATTTTACCATAAGCTAAATGATATAAACAGGAGTTAAGTTCCTATTGCATATTCTATTCACAAAAAACATCACCAAACTTCTGAATTAAAACTCAAAACTCTTTAACATTAAAGACTGAAATAAATGTGAGCTATACAAATATTTAAGAAAGACTACTGAAACAAGTAATATAATTATTTGTGAGTGAGCAGTCTTAGTGATAATGGATGGCATGGGGAGGGAAGCTAAATCCTTATTACTAGAGATGAGTAAAGATGTGTAATAAAGAATAAATGTTTGCAAGCAAAAAATTATAGAGAGCATCTTCTATCATCATGCAGTTCAAAAACAATTAGTGATTTCAATAAATCATATAGAATGCTGTATAAATTTAAAATAACAAATGTAAACAGGTCATGTTTGTTTACTTCAACATTAAATGATGTCTTCTTACCTGTTGTTAATGTGGACATAGGTTCAAGTTATTTGAAAAAGTGAAAGTATAATGAATGCAAATTATACTAGATTTCAGGAAAATAATTTGATTAAAATTGGTTTTATTGGATTGTGTTTACATCTTCCCGCATTTATTTTTAATTTCTTAGAATCAATTTTACTGTTTTTAAAAGAAAATTTAACAACAGAATGATTACAAATGTATTTGTATCTTTTCTCAACAAAGTTACAAGAAAATGATGTTAAGTAAGGACTTGCTTTAACCAGAAATTACAAGTTATTTTTCTATTACAATATAATTTATTAATTAAATAATTTAGTTAAATTTATTACAAAATAGAGGCACAAATTGTCTTTAGTGCCAAATTATTTAATAAGTAAACTGGATTAGAATATAAAATAACAAAATCCATAGTTATTTTTCAAAATAATTACTTTAAAATTATAATAAATTTGTTATATACTTGTATTCATACACAAACTAGAAAAATAAATGTTTGTTTATTTGACACATCAAAGTGTAATTATATATAACACAAGGCATTCTTTACATTCTGCAGAATCCAACTCTAGGCATGTATACATAGTCTTTTAAAATGTATTTTAATGTTCTACAATTTATTTAATATGCTAGACACCTTAAAAAGGAATAAAAGCCGACAGAAGAGGGGTATAGACCTGAAATGCATATTGGCAATAAAAAAGAAATAAAGAATGTAAAGAATGCATTGTGTCATATGTAAATTACACTTCATTGTGTCGAATAAATAAACAAGAAAAAAGATACAGTTTCAAAAGTGAAGTAGAAAAATAAATATATTCTTCTAGTTATAAAATATAAATTTCATATCTAGTTCACAAATAATATATATTCATACATACTTTTCTAGTTCATGCAAGAATATATATTATTTATGAATATTAATGTATTATTTTACTAAACAAAAATATAGAGTTATATGAAAAAGTTATAATTAAGCAAGTTTATCTTTACATATAATTAATATATATACTAAACATTTATAAAAAGCTATAGAAACATAAGTTTTTATTTGTCTATATTTCAAAAATATTTTATTCATACTTTGATTATGCATTAAATATAAATCATTTTCATAAAAATTAAATATTAAAATAATAACAACAGAAATAAGTACAAGAAAATTTTTTGTAGTTGCATCATTTGAATAATTTTACTGTATATATTTAAATTTTATTACTGTATCTGCCAACTTTTATTTTGAATTTTGTGAAGATTATTACTGCAAATTCAGATTTCAATGCTATTTTTGAATATGTATAATTCTCCTATATTTGAAAATAGGATATATGTAAACAAAGGATTATGAAATAAATATTTTAGTGTTTTTGATTTAAATAAATTAATTATTTATCTTCACTAAATTTTACTCATCAGAATTTCCTTTAAATTAACAATTTTTTCTATTTTTTGTTGAGAGTAAGTTGCAGGTTTCTTTGGTCAAATTAAAATAAAAGTACATAAAAATAAGAAGCCAATTATATAAATTTCATATTTTCAAAACTATTTATATTTTTTATTATTTATTTTATGAAGTGATATTTTAACATATATTAACAATAAATAAATTACCTATAAGACTGTTCCAGATTAATTTAAATACTAACTGATTAAGAAAGGTTGAAATAGAAGCTAATTCTTCTAAAGTAAAAGGTTTCTGCTGTTCATACATTTCAAGATCATCTAAAATTCTAAAATGTAAAAATGTCAATAGTAAATTTTAGAGTAAAAATTTAAATTAAAAAAATATATTTCAATAAATTATTTTAAATCATACGTTACAAGATGTGTAGCACAATCACAAAATAAAATGAGAATCTGAAACTCAGGACTGCATGTTTTTGTAGTAATTGCTAAATGATCAAGGAAAGCTTTTAAACCATTTCCAGGGCCAAGACTACAAATAAATTTCCAGAGATTAGGTAGAACCATATCTTGATAACAAAGACCTAAAATGAAAAAGAAATAATCTTATGAATATAAAAAAAAATAATAATAAAACTAATTTATTAATTAAATTTTATATTTATTTAACCTATAAAACTTCATTAAGCATATCTGTTCTTCAATTTGCATGGTAAATAACATTATATAATTAAAACTTATAAATTGAAACAATCAATCACTGAAGATTCAAATACATAAAACATTAATTTTTTCAGTAAAATTCCCCTTAAATTTTAATGAAAATATTTCAATCTTCATTACAGAAAGAGTATTAAACTTTTAATAAAGATCTGATATTGTGGCCCACCAAAGTTTAAAAATTTTAAGATAAAGAATTAGATTTTTTTCATTCATTAAAATTCAATAGTAATTCATATCCTAACTCATGATTGTCCAACCTTTTCTCATAATGGGCCAAATTAGAAATTTACATATATTATATTCAGTGGGCCACAAAGTTACTTTATATAAATTTATGCTTTTGAAAAGTTCAAAATGTGAATATCAAATTTTAATAACAGATATATGAAGTGTGCAATGTCATAATATTGTAAATGCCATTTTTTCTAAATATATTTTATTGAATAATTGAATTCTAAATGCAATGTTTTCTGCCACAAAAGAATATTGTGGCGATACTGGCAGTGTAAGTGGCTGTATTTTGAAGATGAATTTATGTGAAAATATAAAGTTTAAAGTGCCAGAGAGCAAATCACATGACTTTTGGTGTGTAAAAAGTTGCAGCTTATATTTACATCACTTTGACATTCCAGAGAATTTGTAACCCAGTGAGTTTTTTACCATTTTATTGTAAAATTGAAATGAATTCATTCATTAGAAAAAATGTTTTTTTATTCTCCTGAAAAGTTTCTTTTTTGGCATTTACAACATTATGGTATTGCACGCTTCATATATAATTAAATAAAATACTATATTATTGACAGTAAAAAAACAAATTATACTCACACAAAATAAAAATAAATTCAATGTGATTTTTGACAATACCTTCCTTTTATAATATTGTAGATATCTGCTTTTATGGTACTAGTCTTAATTCTAAGAATGTTAGTTAAATGGGAATCACTCAACCTGTTTTGTTCAGCAGTTTTGATGTTTTTCATGTACGAAAAGAATTGTTCACAACAGTATGTTATGCATGTGGCGTTTTCTAGCACCAATTAGGTCATTATGACATCAAAGTGTATCCAGTGAAATGAGAATAATTTTTACAACTTTACCAAAATAAATGAAAATGTACCTGAAAAATTTAGGATGCAGTAGGCTGCATAAAAATATTAAGTGGGCTGCACTGTGGCCCACTTAATATTTTTATGTCCCTGTCCTAAATATAAAATACACTGCACAATGGGAATAGTGATTATAATTAAAATAATCAAAATCAAACTGTTTATTTTAATCTTCATATAAATACAAAAGGATGATTCAAATATAATTAAATAAAAATGTTATCACTAAATAATTTTTTACCTGTAAGAATGTCCAATTTCATTTGAGTTAGTGTTGCAAGAGCAGTTTCATAAAGACAACATGTTAAAGCTACAACTGTAGTTTCAGGACTACCTAATCTCTTATATCTTATATTTCCTGACCTTGTAGATGATGCTCTTTCCAATGCTTTTTTGAAAATGCCTAGAATGCAGGAAACTTATTAAATCTATAATTCTAAAATAACCCATAATAACATAATCATTTTCAAGCTATATTATAAAAGATTTTAATGTGCAATTTCTTATTCAGGATCAATAAATGCATGATGTTGTAAATTAATCTTAATAAATTATGCTAACATCTTTCAATTCAAATCAAAAACAAAAAAAATGAACTATTATATATCTACAGTTTTAACATCAAAAGAATTTTAGAAGGTAACTGAAAGGAAAACATATTTAAAATATACAGGATATTTCAAAATTCCTGTCACAAACTTATAAGACAGATTATTTATGAAAATGTAAGAACATGTAATATTAAAAATTTTAGATATTAATAAAAAATTTTAGTAAATATTTATTTGAATTATAATGTATTTTGACATTTTTATATGAATTACTTGGTACAGTAGAACCTCGAAAACTCGGCTCTAGATAACCCAGCACTCCGGATAACTCGGCCACACCCTGGCAGGGCAAAAAAATCCTTAGTTAATTAATTTTCATTATAGACAGCTTTATAAAAGTATAAAAGCTCTCATAAAGTATTTTTCTGAGGTCTGTCTTATCAGGTAAATTACTATACACAGTGTATTCATTAATTTTCATTTTCATGTAGTAAAGGCTCTATGCCTTCATAAAGGACGTACTTTTCCTTTGTTTAAGGGTATTTGGCCAGTTTATTCTCTGTTGTATTCTCAAGCAAACAATACATACAAGTACAGTACACTATTTTCTGAGGAAACACGCATACTTATCCTTTTTTAACCCCATTCCCGATAACTCGGCATTTTCACAAACTTGGCCACCCTTCGGTCCACATTAGGCCGAGTTTTCGAGGCTCTACTGTATTATAAAAAATATTTACAAAATAAAAACTACTTTTAACAGCTATTATATATGATCCAATTTCTAAGTATAATTGATTAAAAAAAATTATAAAAATGAAAGTATAAAAATTCTGTCATATTATCTAAAATTATATACCATTTATTTAGTCATTGAACTAGACCAACAGTGGGCAACTCTCAGCCCGTGAAAAGTTTCTATCTAGCCCGCAAGATCTTTAGAAGAAATTATAAATAAATATTTTTTGATGCAATTTGTCTAGTTTAAATTGATTATTATTCTCTGAAATGTTGCAGCAGCAATGACAGAAAAAAATAAGGGAGTCATTTCCTTATTTAAACAAAAAATGGGAGAACAGAATTTTTCTAAATTATTTATATGTCATTGCATCATCCATCAAGAAAAGCTATGTGTAAAAGCTATGCAATTAGAAAACGTAATGTCTGTTGTATCCAACTACATAAACACAATAAAAAAAAACAGCACTAAGTCATCGAGAATTTGGAGAATTGCTAATTGATCTTGAAAGTGAATATACAGATGTTCAACATTATTGCTCAGTCCGTTGGCTCTCGAGAGCAACTGTATTAAGCAAATTTTATAATTTAAAACACAAAATTAAACTATTCATGGATATGAAAGGATTTCCCATTGAAGCATTAAATGATGAGAAATGGTTGTCAGATCTGGCATTCTTTGTTGATATTACAGGACAACTGAATGTTTTAAATGAAGCCTTACAAAAGTAAAATCAAGATGTGACACAATTATATGGACATATTAAAGCTTTTAGAAGTAAACTCCATTTGTGGCAATCCCACATAGAGATAAATAATCTTTTTCATTTTCCACCATTATCTAATTATCGTGACAAATATAATCTTCAATTTTTCCTTAAAAAAAATCAAAGATCTTTATTCAGAATTTGATCAACGTTTTCAAGATTTCAACAAGAAAATATTCATTTTTAATTATTTAACTCACCCATTTCCATCACTGGAATCAAAACTGTTCCAGAGAAATTTCAAACGGAATTATTCTATCTCAAAGAGAGGGTAGGTTTATAAGAAAATTTTAATTTTACACCTGTCCATTAGTTTTATAAAAATCTGTTGGCTGAAGAATTTCCAAATTTATTTGATAATGCGAAATATATTTACTCTTTATTTGGCTCAACATATCGATGTGAACAGCTGTTCTCCAAGATGAAGTACTTGAAATCAAAGTACAGAACCAAAATAACCAATACGCATTTGGAAAACAACTTGTGTTTAAGCACCACACAAATTGAACCAGATATTGACATGCTAACAAAATCTTTGCAGCACCAGATGTCACATTAAATACATACTTTTTTCACTTATACAGGTATATTTATTGTTTTATGATTAATAGTTATTTTTCCAATTCTTTGTAATTTTTCAAAAACAATAAGAGAAATAAATGTAGTAATTAATTTCTTTTTTTTTTTTATTTATTTCATATTTGCAGATTAAAACATTATAGGTCACAAGAAAGTGTCAATTAACTACTACAGCCCGCAGAAAGAAATGTAAAATTTATTCTGGCTCATGTTATAAAAAAGGTTGCCCACTCTTGAACTAGACTAAATAAAATCAAAAATATTTGAAAAATTTCATATTTTATGTTATTGTAATTATTTTGAAATATCTGTCTTGAAAGAAAATAAGTTATCTTTCAGCCTCAGAATAAGATTTTCTAATATTTTTATTGTAATTATATACAGGATACAAAGGGAAGTCCATACACTTCCTATAACAGGGGTTCTTAATCTTTTTTGTTCCATGGACACCTTTATCAGTCAAGTAAAGTCAGATACTCCTTCCCAGAATAATGTTTTTAAATGCATAAAATAAAATTATAAAAGAAACCAGTTATATAGAAATGCATTAATTAAAATAAAAAATATATAATGTAGTAATATATAAGCTACATTTTTAACACAGTAACACAAAATTTCAAAGTACTAATGAGTGTAAATGATTTTTTGAGATTTGCAAGAACTCTAATATGATATGAAAATGTCTGCTGCTTGTATTATTGAAGCAGATCAAGCTAATACTACTGTAATTTATAGCATAATTTCATAAGTGAAGTGATACTTGATTACAGTAAAGGATAAGGAAAATTAAGATAAGTTGATTTTTATCCTTCCAAGCCCATGGATCTTTGAAAACTTTCTATAAACTCCTTGGGGTCCACAAATTCATGGTTAAGAACCACTTCCCTATAACTTGAAGCTACATGTTGTAGCACCATAAAAGTAATTGACACTTATAGGAAAGAGATGCACAGTCCATTGCACAGTCAATGCACAGTCCATTGAATAAAATTTTAGCAACCCTAGTAGCAAAATATAGATATAAAGAAAACTAACTTGGAAACTAACAGAGATAGGCAAAAAGTAAAATTACAAAATGAAAGAGTATTGTTTATTTAGTACAAATTAATACTTGGCTCAGCAGAAACACTTACAAGAAAGAGCAGAAAACACTAAGAAAGTATCTGTGGAAAACCAATTTCCTACATTTGACAGAGTTATTGGATATGATGATTGTGTGGAATGGCCACTACAGTTACCCAAATTAACAAACAAACTTCTTCCTTTGAGGATATCTAAAAGATCAAATGTACACTACAGAATCTTCTAACTTTGCAGATTTAAAGGAACACATCATTAACATCTATAATTCCTTAACTCCTGCCATGATGCATACTGCTTGAGATAAAATTCTGTCCTGAATCCAGAAGAGCATTGTCACTGATGGTGTCCACTTTAAAGACTGTGTACAGTAGTGGCATGCAACCAACTTGGCAAGTTAGTTGCACTTGTGCTGCACAAACTTTGCATTACATCTACATTTATTATTGCATAAACGTTTATTATTTTCTTAAATTTCTGCTTTCTGCTAAACCAAGTATCAATTTATACTAAATAAACAATTCTCTTTCATTTTGTAATTTGACTTTTCTGCCTATCTCTGTTAATTTCTGAGTTAGTTTTAGTTTCATATTTTGCCAGTAGGTTTGCTTAAATTGCATTCAATAGACTATAGGTGCCAAGTACTTCTATAATGCTACAACAGATGGCTTAAAAGCTAGAGGTATGCAGACTTTCCTTTGAACCCTGTAGATTTGATACTACAACAAATAAAAAAATTATTTTGATTATATTTTCAAATAATCCATAATCAAAATTAATTATACAAATATTTCAGAATTTCAATAACAACTCTTAAAAAATTCCATAAGTTTAAAAAATAAACAACCAGAATGTAATTATTAACATTGTAATTACTTTTAAAATTTATATCAAAACAAATTATTAATATACAAAATTTTTTATGAGTTTACAATTTAATTATAATTAAAAAATAATTTTGTTTTTCCCAATCTCGTCATCCTTTATTTCTTTGGTCAAAATATGATTTTTATATTAATGATTATTATTTACTTATTAGTGGAAGTTACTGCAAAAATATTAAATTCTGCAACAACTATCTGAGGATTATCAAATATTACCATGAAATAATATATTTGATATTTCTGTGGTAACTTCCATCTCATGTCAAAAAATATTTTTCTGTCTGAATTTTGGCATCTATATGTATAAAATTACTTGTCCTGACTGACTGACTGATTGACTGATTCATCAACACCCAGAGCAAACCGCTGAACCTAAAAAGGTGAAATTTTGTACACAGTTGGGGTACATCATGAAAACACACACTAAGAAAGGATTTTTCGAAATTTCCCCACTGTGTGCATTTTCATGACGTACCCTAACTGTGTACAAAATTTCACCTCTTTAGGTTCAGCGGTTTGCTCTGGGCGATGATGAATACTTTAAGGCTTTATACTTAAGAATACTTAAGGATTAAGGCTTAACCTGAAGAACGGCTTCTACTGTACTATTTTAGATGCAACTTTTTGTTTTCAACTACGTTTAGTTTTCATTGAGTTTTGTATTTATTGAGTACTTAGGTGTATTAAATTGATAATATTTCAGACATTGTTATAAATATTTTTATATATTTTGATTTTTTAACCAAATGTTCGAACCATTTTAAATTTGAATTTGTTATTGCTTATTGGTTCGATTATAGAATG